AGTACGGCAAGAAGGTCAAGGTGTGACACCTGACTGTGGAAATGCTGCAGGTGTGGGTTCAAGTGCAAAGCAGGATCTGAAGTTAAGGGATTTCTCACTGTCCTCGCCTAGCATGTCCCCGCAGTTGATACCTTGCAGCTTTGTCACGGTTCCCTGCAGGTCGAATGACGATGACTGACGCATGTGCAAACCATGCACTTTCCGAGATGCCAAAAGCCACTGCACGTGCGTCGCGTCCCCTTGTAAATTTCACCTTGCAAGGTCTTGTTGGTCTGTTGCGTGAGCTGCGGTTTCAATACATGTTACATGCAGGAGTGCCGAAAAATCGCGCAGAAGTTCATTTGAGATGAAGCGGACGTTCATGAGTAGACGGGCCAGACGCTCTCTTTAAATCCTAAAAACTTGTCTAAATGACTCAATTCTGACATAAACCCCGTTTCGGCTGTTGCAAACATCTCCAAACTAAAAAGCGTTTCGGCGTGGAAACTGCCAGCTTTATGCTGTGCGAGATCGTTTGGAAAAGTTGTATTGCGGCAGCGCAGCTTGCAAGGACGGTAGCGTCAGCCTCACAGTCTCCGCCAGAGTGATTGGTTCGTAAGCATACTGCCCGCAAGCATTGGCTCAGAAGGGGGTCTTTGCAGACTCCGCCGCGATGCCCTGAACTCAGCATGGGGAGCGGAGAGCTAGAAAAAGGGAGCGAGCGAGAGTAACCGGCACAACGGGGGAAGCACCCAACCCCGAAAGGCTGAAAGGGGCCTCGCCGCTTGACAGATGCGGACATGTGGGCTGGCCTTCGGGCCAGGGTCTCTTCGGGGGCCCACACCCCTCGCAAGCAAGCGAGCGAGCGAGCGAGAGAGGTGGCCTGGGCAGCGCACGCGGAGAGAGCGAGAGTGTGTTGGGCCTGTGGAGATCCAATCACCTTGGGTCTGACTAGGTCTGCAGCAAGAGAGCGTTCATGAATGCACATGCTTGCGTGGGGTGTCGGGCGTTTGATCCCTTTCCCAAAGTCCCAAGCAAGCAAGCAAGGGAGATAAAATCGATTCACCTCCCTTTGCCTTTATCCCAATAAACCGTCGGGCGAGCCAGTGGCCCCAAAAGGCCCTCTTTGCGGTTTGAGCAGAAGCACGGACGATCCATTGCATTTGGAGTCACGCCGCTGAAAAGAGCAAAACGGGCGTGCCAAGTACGCACCCTGTAAACACTGAGCTAAGACTCTAAGCGGGTAGGGAGAGTGGTTGCCAGAGATGACTTCCAAGTTTTGCCTGAGGCCTTCCACACCACTTCCGGCTCCGCAGCCCATACCCGATGGTTACTACGTATCTCGCTGAGCCCAGCCATGTCAGCACTTTGTCCAGAGACCTCAGCAGCACTGAAAGGTGGCCCCGCCGCCGGCCAGACCACTTCTTCTCTTCATCACGAATGTCAAAAATGCAAGAACTGTTTGGGCCGGTGGCTCAAGCAGGGTTTTGCTGCACCGGCCCGGTGCCATCAACTTTGCAGCGCCTGGAGGTGGAGATCTCCATCAATGACAACGTACACATGCTGAAAAGATATACCGCCAGAAAGATGTTGATCCCAGCGAGAAGCTTAGACACAGCCGTCCGGATGGGTTAAGGGGAATCGAACTCCTGTGTTCATGCAGACCTAGGTTGAAGACATGATCCTCGTGTACCAAGGCCACTCTTTCTCAACACCAAAGCAATGCATTCCATAGACAGATGCTGCGCTGTGCAAGGAGAAGAGCTCAAAAACGACACTCAGATCAAGCAAAGCTGCTTCGCTCAATGTGGAGGCCACAGGTAGACCACCAGTTTGGCCACAAGCTTGCATTAAGGTAAGCTTGATTTTGTCATCCAGAAGGCCAGAGCCACAGATGGTCGGCGAAGCATGAAGTGGTTGGGTGTGAGTTGCATTCCAGCGGGTTCGCGTGCAGGCTGCAGAAGGTGAGCCATCTGCGGAAGACTGCACCATACACCTGATTGACATAAAGGCAGGAGCATGACGATCTTCGAGATTCATGCATTTGCGAGCTTCAGACCTGACAGGACACGCCGGCCGAAATACGCGAGCCTAAGCAGACCATGGATGGAACCCAAGCATCCTTTTGATGCCTGATGTGTGCCACAAGCTTGGATTTGTCGGCTCTAGCTTCGGAGCCGGCTTAACAGAAGCCAGCCGGGAGGCATCCCATGTCTCACAAGATTTCACGCAGCGCTTGCAAAATGCGAGAACTGCAAGCTCCGAATCAGTGATGAGTTATGCCGGCATTCACAGAAAGGCTTTCCCTGCATAGTCCCTTCAGACTTGTACTGCTGTCGAGGCCGTTCCCAAAGCATCTTTTCAATCTTGAGCCTCTCCAGCTACAGGCTGAACACGGAGTTCCGGAGCACAGACTCGGACCTTGCCAAGCCGTACCTAGACTCTCACGTGTGCGCTTGCATGGAGGAGAAGCCGCTACGCACCATCAAGGAGCATGACTTCTAAAGGCTGTCTGGCTCGGAGGCATCCTACAACAATGAAAAAGCAAAGATCTGACATTGGCCGTGCATAGAAGTAAGACAGGGCCTGCAGACAGCAGTGTCCTACGCACAAGGAACAACAACCAGACTGAGGACGGATGAGCGCTCTCGATTCCAAACTTAAACTATGCCGAGCACTCGATTGGTCAGCACTGTACTGCTTTAGAGGAAGTCGTGTCAAGCCAGGTCGCAATGCATCAAAGCCTGTTTTAGAAAAGCAACAACACAAGCGGCACTTGAGGCACATACATAGGTTTGTCTACTGCATACTTTCATGTTTTTTCAAAATCGGTAAAGTGAGGAACAGCTTGCGATGGGATGCCGCTCTTCCAAAAGGTGTTGCTGCGTGAGTTCTTCCTGCGAGGGGCAAATTGTGCCTCAGCTGACAGACCTGACTGAAGGTCATGTTTGTCATGTTCTGCAGCACAGGGACAGCAGCACGTCCCAGTCGCAGCTGCCAGGAGAATGGTCCCGTTGACACTCCAGGAGCATCGTTTCGCTCCACTCGCCATGCTTTGACCTTAGTGTTTCAGTCCGGATATGGCAGTAGTCAAGCCCGGGGCGGGTGCCAGTGCCGAGAGCAATGGTTGAAATCATGTCCTAGCTGTCGCAGCCTTCCGTGCGCACTTTCAGGCTAGCGTAGCAGCTGTTCACTGTTGTCCGATGTGACTTTGTGCTTGGCCAGGTCGTGAATCGTGAGACAGGCAAAGTCTTCGAAGAAGTCATTCCCGGCCCAGTATGGTCCATTCTGAAAGGACTGTGGCTGGGTCTCAATTTGCAACACCTCCCTCTTGATTGGTCTGTTTTCCTGGAGCATGCAAAGGTTCATTCACAGCCAGTTCCTGCTGCAATGGTTGAAGGTATGCGACCACGGCGTGCGGCATCGTTCCAGCCCACCCTCTCAGATGCTGTCTTCGGAGGCATAACGAATCAGCATGCCAATCAGAGCTGAGTGATTGACCTCAAGTTGACCTTGCCGCTTGCGGTGGCAGGCTGACGCAACATGCGGGTCGCAAGATGCGCTCGGCATCTAGCAAAAAGGACTGCAATCTCCGGCACGGTAGTGTACTTCGTAAAGGTCTTGGGATGCTTCACGCCTCAGGATGTCCGGAAGTTTGTTGATGTTTACAGCATTGACGTGGAGGAGGCAGGCTACATGGTCCTGTGTAGCAAGATCAAGCACCATTTGAGACCGCAGTTCTTGCTTGTTGCGATGTTGTCAGCAAGTCGACCCTCAACTCCGACTCCCAGCCTTAAGTTTTTTTCGCACATTTGGGAATATGCACGTGCCGGCCGTGTGGAATCTGCACTATGGTGAAGTCCCACGGAACCCAAAATACTGGAAGTCGTCTTTTGTGAGATGGGTTCAAGATTCCCGGTTGGGGACCTGACCTGGGAGCGAGAACAAAACACGAAGTCCCAGTAGGTGGGCACATGCCGATCCGAGAGTCCACAGGGCTGCGTCGTTGACCGGGACTCCCAACATGCAGAGCAAGGGATTGTATGGAGATGCGTTCCAGACGTTGGAGCCGTAATTGGCATGACATCCGAGGGTCCAAACTTTCCGGATTGATGGGCAGTGATCGGCCCCCGGCCCCAGACTTCTAAAGCTCGCCCACCTTTGAATGAAGCTTTGCAGGGTGAAGGGACGCAGGCTAGGTGAAGACGGATCGGGGGCTCTCGGGACCTATGCTGAGACTTTCACCTTGTCTAGCGGGCTTGCAGGTGTTACTTCCACTGAGCGATTTCCGCACGATGAATGTCGGATGCTCAGGCTTTGCGTACCTTCAGACATCAGACCATCGACTCTCAGCCCCGATGCCGTGTCCGGGACTTCAGGACTTCTTTACACGCGAGCTCAAACCAGGAGCACGACCAGTTGACAGCCCCGAGGAGGGGAGCGTGACAAGTTGGCTAGATCATGCCAGATATGGTGACGTGAACTATGCCATGCTCATACCCTCTGCAGCAGACGTCCTTGCAAGAATAGCTTCTGAGGGGAGAGGCAGCACCAAAAAACAATAATACGCCGACTCGAACCTATTGAACCTCGCCTGGCTTGTCCGAGTTGTGAGAGCGTAAAAACAGATCCGCCCACAACATGTCCTCCGTGCGCAAAAGTACATGCAAGGTGTCATCAGTACGCCCCTACTACTCCTGCTTCTTCTGCTTCTACGACGACGACGACTACTACTACCACTACTTCGACTACTACTGCTAGTGCTACTTGTACTGCAGCAACAACGACGACAACAACAACAACAACACCTACTACTACGTCGACTACCTGGGCAACCTAGAAGTGTTGTAGTACCTGCAGTTGCGGAGTTGCCAGACGCTGCCACGCGGGAGCCAAAACTACTACGACCACCACCGTGGCCACTGCTGCTGCTGCTCCTACTAGTACTAGTACTAGTACTAGTACTAGTACTAGTACTAGTACTAGTACTCGTACTACTACTCGTACTACTACTACTACTACTACTACTACTACTACTAGTAGTACTACTACTACTACTACTACTACTACTAGTACCAGTACCAGTATTAGTACTAGTACGAGTACTACTCTAGTACGAC